CGACCTAATATGTACATAGAAGACAAAATGTAGATATTCTAGACGTAACGGCTCTCGCCGAGCACGATTGTGCGTCACCGCCTGGTGCCTGCTGTAAGCGCACGCTCGTGGACTTCGCTGCGACTTGACTTGTTCCGCAGGTGTAGCTCTTCTGGAGGTTATAATTTAGTGAGTACATGCAGTATTAATCTACTACACCCAAATACATCCCCCTTTGATAGCACCAGAACACTCGTTGTATTGTGAGTAAGCCCGGGCTTAAGCCCAAGGCTTGGGCCGGACTCGGGCTCGGCTCGGGCTCAGGGCTCGGCTCGACGTCGCCACAAGCCCAAGCCCGGGCTTTGAGCCCAAGCCGGGCCCGCACATCACTAATGAAATCACAGCAAGGAACAGCCGGACGGCGGCCTGCCTCCGTCGATGCTCTCAGACGCCTGAAGACGATAAAGGCGGGGCAAGCCGCGACGGCACAGAACGTGAGCTACATCTCGGTGCGTCTCTTTCCCGCCCCCCTTTTCCATGTGTGACTCATTGCGCGCTGCAGGCCATGGGCAGCGGCGTCATCGCCATCTCGGGTCTGAGCTAGTTGCGCAGGAGAAGGCCTCGGGACTGTCCGCGTCGGGTAGAACTGAGACCGGCAGTGCCTTGCAAGCCATTCAGCGCGGGGAGCAGGTCTAGGAGCGCGTTGGGGCGAGAAAGGGAGAGGCACCTGAGGCCGGCTGGGTAGAAGTGCAGGTCGCGGACGCAAAGTATGTTAATGGCCCCTGGCAAGCGGACATAGATCCATGCTTGGCAACGGCGTCCGTCCCGTTTCCTCTATACCTGGCATATCGAGCTAAGGCCCGCACACAGTTCTCGAGCACGGCGTTAAACTTCGTCAGACCACCCATAACACGGCAGCAGCGACTCGGCCCGGTGTGCTTATGATGGCGAGGTCGACCGTCCGCCGAAAACGTTCGTCTCTACGACACGCACCGTTGACAGTAGCTATTCCCTCAGGGTACGAATAGCCGTTTGTACCGCAGCCTCCAGCTCGAATTGGCAAATGTAGTCATATTTCACGATTGCGTAGATATTTCCATGTACAGAAACAGGCGCTCGACGTAATGCAATGCACCTTCTCGTTCCTTGCCTGGCATGTCTCGGTGCTTGATGGCGAAGCGGTGAGATGGCGGCTGATGCTGCTGTAAGTGAGTCGCAAAGGCTGACGCAGCGCGAGCGTGCTGAGTTGGGGATTGCATAACAGAATCGGCAGGAAGGGATGCAAAAAAGCATCGGTTTTCTGCGAAAACTCGGTGCTTACCAGCTATGTGATGTAAGAGACCCAGAAGTGGAGAGCGGAGGTTGGATACGCAGCCTCCCGTTGTTCTCGCCAAACGCGCTACGCTGGTAGGATCTTACCTGCTGCGCCTGGAGACAATAAACGGGCAGGCACTTACAAGAGGACAAATAGACTCTTGTAGCTCTCATAGACTTGGCTGCGAGAGTCATCGTCTTGCCAGGACGCACGAGCTATGTCTCTTCGATTGTAGCGACTCGCTCGATTCCGGTCGTGATAGCGCGCGGATCTCCTTAGAGATGATTTCTAGAATAAGAGCGTAAATTGTCTATGTAAGCTGTAAAAACAATACGAGAAATGGCGTGGCCGTTGGTAAGAAGCTCGCTTGCAGCGGAGGCTGTCGACGAGGATAAGCCAACACGCTAGAGAGCGATAGAGCGTATACAGAAACGAACCTGAGAGGACTAGTGTATCGAAATCACGCATCGTCTCTAAGCTCTCAGATGCGCAAGCTTTGCAGTGCGGAGAAAGCTCCCACTAAAGTCGCAGGGGGCCGTCACATGGAGAGATGGTGGTGGGGCGTCGGGAAAGTGAGATTGAGTGAGATTCATGAGCTGAGCGCGGGGAGTAACTCGAAGGTAACAGCGGTGATGGATCGCGCCTCCCACGATCGCGCGCATCGTCGTGCACCTGCAACAGATGCTCGTAGTGATGTGCGGGCCCGGCTTGGGCTCAAAGCCCGGGCTTGGGCTTGTGGCGACGTCGAGCCGACCCCTGAGCCCGAGCCGAGCCCGAGCCCGGCCCAAGCCTTGGGCTTAAGCCCGGGCTTGCTCACAATACAACGAGTGTTCCGGTGCTATCAAAAGGGAATGTATTTGGGTGTAGTAGATTAATACTGCATGTACTCACTAAATTATAACCTCCAGAAGATCTACATCTGCGGAACAAGTCGAGTCGCAGCGAAGTCCACGAGCGTGCGCCTACGGCAGGCACCAG